GGGAATAGACCTGCTGGGCCCTCTGCCTACGGCTGCTGGTCGAGGCCGAGCCATTGGCCTCCATCACTGAATTCCAGTGCCGGAAGTTCGTCTGGCAGAGCATCATTTGCCGCTTCGGAATCCCAGAGCAGATCATCACTGACAACGGTCGGCAGTTCGTCGGCAGAGGCTTTGAGGCATACTTGGCAAAGTGGGGCATCAGGCACTCTAAGGCCTCGGTGGCCTACCCGCAGGCCAACGGCCAAGTGGAGAACATGAACCGGACCATCATGGATGGGATCAAGAAGAAGTTAGAAGACTACGCCTCCACCTGGCCGGAACAGCTGAATTATGTCTTGTGGACATATAGGACAACGCCCAGAACGGCGACTGGCGAGACCCCTTTCGCTTTAGCTTATGGTTTCCAAGCTAAGGTGCCGACGGAAGTACTGGTACCTACACACCGCACCAAGCACTTCCAGCCGGAGGACAACGAGACCAACCTACGAGCGGAGCTCCATTTCATTGAGGAACGGAGGGACCTGGCGGCTCGACGCATGGAAGAATATCACAGGGCCACCCAGAGATACTTCAACAAGGCTGTGAAATTCCGCGAAATAGAGGCCGGGGACCTCGTACTCAGGAAAAGAGAGAAGAGCAAGCCGCTCGAAGGCGGCAAAATGGCGAAAAACTGGGAGGGACCTTACCGGGTCATCAGAAGATACAACAAGGGGACGTTCCTCCTCCATACCCTGGAGGGGAACCATGCCGGGATGTGGAACGTAGAACACCTGAAAAAGTTCTATCAATAGTTAGAGGCTGATGTCCTTGTTATGTTCCCACTCCCATGTAAAATGACCGGACGTCGTCAATAATAAAGGCCCCTGTTTTTTACATCATTTCTGTTCTTGCCAACAACCACTAGAGAAGGGAATCTCGATGCAGATACACCTGTTCCTCCTTGTGATGTCTGCGGATGCCGAATGTCTCCTCGAAGTAGGGACGCCGGTAGGACCAAGGACCAAGGACGAACGAAGCACTAGGGAATCTCGATGCAGATACACCTGTTCCTCCTTGTGATGTCTGCGGATGCCGAACGTCTCCTCGAAGTAGGGACGCCGGTAGGACCAAGGACCAAGGACGAACGAAGCACTAGGGAATCTCGATGCAGATACACCTGTTCCTCCTTGTGATGTCTGCGGATGCCGAACGTCTCCTCGAAGTAGGGACGCCGGCAGGACCAAGGACCAAGGACGAACGAAGTTCACCTCCCCTTAAAAAAAAAAAAAAAAAAAAAAAAAAAAAAAATTGGGAGAAGAGGAGAGAAGCCCCTACACGGAAGGGAATCTTGCCCGGGTGAGCCAGATCTTCTCCCACCACCGAAGGCGAACGCCTCTCGATGAAGAGGTTAGTAGAGACGTGGAGGGGGCTAGACGAACCAAGGGAGCCTGCCAAGATAAACCTGTTTATCCCACAAATGACCATGGATCGATGGACGTGGGATAACGAAGACGGGAACCCGTGAGGGTAAACCTGTTCGTCCCTGCGAGTCCCTTGGGTACCGAACGTATTCTTCGAAGCAAGAGACACCGGTAAGACTAAAAGGGCCACGGACGAACGAAGAAGGGGGGAATCTCGATGTAGATAAACCTGTCCGTCCTTGTGATGTCTGCGGATACCGAACGTCTCCTCGAAGTAGGGACGCCGGTAGGACCAAGGACCAAGGACGAACGAAGACTAAAAGACTCCAAAAAAAAAAAAAAAAAAAAAAAAAAAAAAAATGCCAGACGAGCATGGAGCAAAGAATGATTTTTATTCCTCGGCACTATTGGCCGGAAAGTTACAATATATGAGGGTACAATACAAAAAATGAAAAATTGTACAAGGGAAAGATAATGAACGGAGAATCAGCGCAGATCGGCGTCCGGAGCGGGAGTTTGGGAAGGGGCCTGCTTGGATTTGTCAGTTCTAGCGGCGTCCTCCTGCTCCTTCAGCAGCTCAAGGGCCCCTGCATGAGCGTCTGCCATCAAGACGTCGAAGCCGGCCGCCTCCGGATCAAAGGGAGCCCCAAAGTGACGCTCAAACGTCGGGAGATTCTCCGCCACTAGCCCAACCATACCTTTGCGGTAGGTGTCATCGGCGAGATCGTCAAGGAAACGACGTCCGGTGGGTGTGGCCTGGAGCAATTTTACCCCGTCTTGATAGGCATCCGGGCAGGTGGCCAGGAACTCGCCGACGAGCCGCGGGAGGAACTTCATGGCCATAGTGTGGATGGCGCCAGTATAAGCCTTGGACTTCTGAAAGGCAATGGAACCAGACTCCTTGATTTTGGCAACATCGGCCTCATAAATAGGGACATGATTGTCCACGCCCGTCTGGCGAAGCTCCACCTTGGCTTTCTCTACGGCCCACAGCCGGCTGCGCAGATCTACAAGCTCGGCCTCCTGCTTCTTGAGGAGCTCCTTCTGAGAGGCATTCTCCTGGACGAGTTTATCGAAGGCATCGGCTTTCTCTTGAAGAGTGCCAGCCCTGCCTTTTGCACTCCTCAGAAGGGCGTCGCTTTCGGCCCGCACCCTGGCCATTTCCCTGCCCTGATGCTCGAAGGCCATCCGGGCCCTGTGGAAGTAGAGCCCGGCCTTATCCAAGGTGCTCTGGCCACACTCCAGAAGGTCTTCGGGTGCCTCCTGAGCAGCAAAATCCTGGGGGACCTTGAGATTCAGGCCGCACCAGATAGAGGATGCCGTCTGACCAAAGAGCATCATTGACTCCTTGCGTGGACCAACCCCGGAGAACTCAATCAAACCAAGGGAGGACCCATTGGCTTTTGAGGGCGAAGGAGGACGAGCATCGTCAGAACCCTTAGCGATCTGGGCATCATCATCCCGGAGACGACGAACGTCAGAAGTTCGTGGGGGAGAAGGACGGGACTTGCCCCGAGAAGCAGGCTTCCGCTTAAGGGGGCTCCCAGGCTCACCATCAGAGTCGTCGGCTACTATGATGGCCTTGGAGGCTGTACCCTCGACGCGCGACCTCTTGGAGGCGCCGGCTCCCAAATCATCCTCAGTCCGGCCCCTGGTCACCCTAGTTTCAACCTTGGGGACGAGCGGCTTCCCGGGCTTGTCATGCCCTCTGTGCCCACGGTCGGCGGCAGTCGGAGCGGCATTGTCTCGGCGCATGGTGGACGTGGATGGACAAACTCCTGCATAAGGGGAATCAAGGCGTTCAGAACCATAACAGCGAAGAGAGGTTAAAACAATGCAAGTACAAACGGACGCACCTAACCCAGCCTGAGCTTTAAAGGGCTCGGCCACCAGCAACCGGAGGTTCTGGATGCCAAGTCCGGCTATGCGCTTGGCATATCCAAGCTCCTCGTCCGTCATGGGCGGCGGGATCGTCTTCACAGGGTAGGCGTTCCACCGATCAGAGAATGGCATCGGTGAGCCTACTCCGGCCAGGAAGAAGCGTTCTTCCCAACCGTCTGGATTCCCAGCGTTGTTCGAGAACAGGACCATGGACGGACGGGCAATTAGGGTCAAATACCCTGTACGTCCGAAGGTGGACAGACGGAAGAAATGGTGCAGCAGGTCCACGGTGGGGGTCACACCGACGCTGTGGCATCTAATGATAAAGCCAGCGATTATCCGATAAGCGGCAGGGACGAGCTGCGCAGGCACAATCTCGAGGGCCCTGAAGAGTTCCAAGTGGAAGCTATGCAAGGGAAAATTCAGCCCGGCTATCACCGAATCTAGGTGGACCACCACATAGCCGGGCAGATGGCGCATGGGGTTCCGAAGACGCCGATCGTCGTAGGTCCTTGGTGGATAGAACCATTGACTGATCAATCGCTTGTCAGCGTTCGTCAGGCGTTGAACTTGACGCCGGACGCATGAGAAGTTGAGGCTATAACGGGGAGGCCGGGGTGGCATTCCCCGCTCATAATACTCCAAGTCATCACCGGAAGAACATCCATCATCAAAACGACTTTCGGAAGACATGACGACGAACGATACCTTGGAGCTCGAGGTTTCCGATACGATCAAAAGAGAAGTCTAGAGAGAGAAGGCAATTGTGCAGCGTAAGGAGAAGTGTGAGTGGGTCACTTGGGTACTGAGTATTTATAGGCAACACCGCGGGATTGCCCCAACCGAAGCAGGACACGTGGCGCCTGGATACCGGTACCTACCACGGTATTTAAAGCGTCTCGATTTTGTCGCCGCATAACCCACACAAAGACATCCGGGTCCGTGCCACGAACGTCCCTTGAGGAGGGCTCACCGGCTCGGAGGAATTTGAAGACATTCAACCTCCCTTGCTTCCTTAATTCCCCGGCCGACCCTAGCATCGGCGGCTGGCGAGGGCACACGAATCAACTGGCGACGTCCCTCTTGCAGCACACCAGTTTTTTATGTCACGCAATATGGACGAACGTCGTCACCAAGCGCTGTTTCAGGGAAATACGCCCATAAGTCCATACTTGAATCGTGTGCTGGCAAGGCAATTACCGACGAACGTCTTCCCACTGTCCAGAGACCGCGTAGGCGGTAAAGATGTGTCGAGGCGCCGGAGGGATTCCTCATACTACAAACGATGGGCACAAAAGAATGAAGTGAAAATCACGTCCATTGATGGTGCACAAAGGATGAACGCCGCCTCTCCACACTTCGTGCCAGATGAGCACGCAAAACAGACGAACGTCCCGCGCGTGGTTTGAATGTTCATATCACGCGACGACGGGCGGACATCGTTATCAAGTGCTGGTGCTGAGAAATACGTTCCTATGTCTACACTTCGAGCATGCACCATAAACCACCGACGAACGTCGCTCCATTGACGGAACGCGTTGAATACGTACGGAGGATTGACTTCGGGACGCTTTTGCCTGGAAGCAAGTAGAGGACGGATACGAACGTCCTCTCGGACTCTGACCTTGCTACAAGGCATGTCGGACCGCCGAAGGGGTTTCCATACATCGAAGGACAGAAGGAAGGAGAATAACAAGTAGAAATCATGAACATGGAATAATCATGGGCAAAAAGATGTATATTCCTCGGCTCTAACGGCCGGACATTACAAAGGTTGGAATGGAAAAATACAAAGTACATTATACAAAGAAGGGGGATTCAGGCCGGCTGCCTCCCGGAATCTGCTCTTCCTCCTCGGCCTCGGGCTCAGGGGTCGGGGGCTCCGGAATCTCTCCTCTGGCCTTGGCTTCCTCCCGCCGTTGGTCCCTCCCCAACTTCCCCAAGGCTTGGAGCAGCAGATCATCATCCGTATTGGCAGCGAGCTCGAAGTCGGCCCCCTGCAGCCTTGAGAAGATGGGAAGGGTGGCCTTGACCCCCTCATTGTAACCGGCGGCGAAGGAGCTGTCGCCGACCTCGTAGAGGAACTTGTGAGACAAGGGGGAGCTCTCCAGAATCCGGACCCCGCTCGCCAGACGCTGCCGGGGTGGGATCTTCTCCAGCGCCGCAGAGAAAACGTCACCGAAGGCTCCGGCGCAGTAATCCTTGGCGGAATCCATGAACTCCCCGGTGTTCCGATAGCCGGAGGTATCGACCAGCCACTCCGGACTGGCACCCTTTGCAGTAGGGTGCACCGGGACAAGCTTGAAGCCAGCTTTCTCAAGGCTGACCAGCTGCTGGCGGGACTCTGCCCGCAGGGCGGCGATCTCCTTCTCCTTGGCGGCCGCCTCCGCCTCTGCTCGACGAGCGGCCTCCCGGGCCGCAGCGATGGCCGCGTCAGCTTTGGCCTTGGCCTCCTTCAGGTCGGCCTCCCGGGCAGCTTCAGCCTGAAGGACTAGAAGCCCAGACTGGATGACAGAAGAAGAAAAAATAAGGATCAGAGGATGAACATCAAGGAAAATAAGAGATATACTCAGAGCTAGCAAGGAATTACCTGAAGAGCGGCTGCCAGGGCAGCGCTTGTCGCCTCAGAGGACGAACGGCTGGGCAGCTCTAGACCAGCCTTGAGGGCCATCTCCCTCCAGAGCTCTTCCGCCGGGCGGCTCAATGGCAAGGAGCCGGCGTCTTCAAGCAGGGGCCCGGTGGAGCCTGCTTCGCGGCCCCTCTTCTGTCTCTTCTCCGGGGCTTTCTCCGGACCCTTCTGAGGAGCCGTCTTCGTGGGGACGACCGGCAGGGGAAGGGCGGCTTCGAGAGCAGGGGCCCCGGAACCCTGAGCCAGCACAGTGGCAATCAGATGCTGCTCACCCTCGGCAGTTCGCCGGGCAGCGTCAGAAGCCGAGGAGTTGGACGCCGAGGCGGGGGCATTCTTGGCCTTCTCCATCGCAGCTTTAGCGGCGGCCGCTTTGGCCTTCCTGGTCTTCAGGCACTCGGCGTGATTCATTTGATCCCTGTCTGGCGGAGGACCTGCAAAAAATAACAAAGGATTAGAAGACGAGCGGGGAATAGAATAAGACACTCACCTCGAAGGACAGGACCGCCCGGTGCCCCGAGACGAGCGTCGAAGGGTAAAAAAAGTCCAGGGACACGGGCGGGTACCTATGCCTGCCCCAGAGAGTGCCTCGAAGGTCAGGAATCCGGCTATAGGACGGACGCCACCCTCCAACACCTTCTCCGCATCCAGAAGCAGATCGTCGGACGGCTCCGATGACTCGATCTTTGGGGGGTACCCATTCCACCGGAGAGGGAGAGGAGGCCCGTCGTATCGAAGGAAGAAAAAACGGTTCTTCCAGTCGTGGATGGACGAAGGGTAGTTCTTGAACAGCCGCCTCCCAGGACGTGCGGCCACGCTCAGATACCCGTCGGCGTTCTGAGGAGTGACGCGGTAGAAATAATGGAAGAGCTCCAGAGTGGCATCGACCCCCGCAAGTTGGCAGCGCACCAAGAAGGCCGATATGAATCTGTAAGAATTTGGCATGAATTGCGCCGGGGCCACCTGGAAGCAGTGGAAGAACTCCACATAGAACGCATGAAGTGGAAACCTCAGCCCGGCTTCAACGGAGTCCAGGTGAAGCATGATCATCCCCGGACGTCTCCTCATCACATGCTCAGCACCTCTCACACTCCAGACGAACGGCGGGGGAAGGAAGGTACGGATTTTATTGAGGGCCACGCGGGAAAGGACTTGGTCATGGTCAAGTGCACTCCTGATCGGGCAGATGTGGCGCTCCCTATCCGTGGGGATGCCCAGATCATACACCTCCACATCAGAACCAGATTCGGCTTCCTCTCCGGAATCATAATCAGCAGGACGCTCATTCAGGGGGACTGCGTCAATAACATCTACTGCCCCGTCAGCGCCCCCGCCCCCGGCGTCGCTCCCGCTATCTTGGGACACGTCATCCGGCTCGCCATCAGCCCGGATGGTCCCCACAGTCGTGGCCGAACCCGAGGTTCCGGAAACACTAGTTTTTCCCGGGGAGCGTGCATTCGCATTGTCAGAAGAGGAGCCCGAGGAGGAACCCGACGAACTGGAATCGGAACTTGAGGAAATCTCCATCGAAGTCATTTCGGCTAGAAATCAGAATAAAGAAAAGAAGCAGAGGGGGGAAATTACCTTACAAAGGTATGGTTGGCCGAATTTGGGAAACTTGAAGAGCTGCGGAAAATCGAGAGCAAGAAAGCAGAAATTGGGAACCCTAATTCAGAGGGAAAACCTAGCATTTATAGGAGAAGCACCGATGAAGAAACCAACGAGGGGCTGACACGTGGCAAGGAGCGTATTCCGGCCCACGCGCTGTGCGTGGGATGGGAACGTAATGATGACACTTCCTCGGGAAAACGCGCCGCCGCAACATCAGCCGTCACCTCGTTTCCTGAACCGTCAAACAGCTGTCAAGCATCATGACCACGAACGTACGCTTCCACCAGGTGCAATAAACACAAGTACCAAGATACGGACGTCTACTTCGGGGAGGTTCATACTTCCTTATGTCCTGCGCATGCTCAGAACATCAGAAGTGGGGGACTTGTGTTGGGTTAAGGGCCCAAGCCGAGGTCCGGCCCACTAACCCATTTCGCCAGACGAACGTCCAGTTAGATCACTAGGCCAGCACACAGGCCCATGTTCCTTGAGGATGGACGAACGTCTGGTGTTGGGGGACTCAGGCCCAGCAGCTCATCCCGACGAACGTCTGTGCAGGGATAAGGAGCAGAACCACGGGCCACCAGGGACGGCGACGAACGTCCCCATAGCAAGCCTGTAGTCATCGGAGAAAACCCAGTCCACATGGTGAGTATCTGTCAAGGCCAGGAGACGAACAGCCGATATCTCCCAAGGGTCCCTTGGAGCAATCCAACTCACTTCCCGATGGACGAACGTCCCCACTGATCCGGCGGGAAACCTAGATTCTGGCGGGAAGTGCATTTAATGCTAAAGATTTGGTAGTTGGGACACCAGCGGTCCACAGGCTGCCACGTCACTACAGCCACCTGCCCATTGGCGGGTATAAATAGAAGCATTTATTCCATTGTAAAGGGTTGGCAACTTTCTATTCTTAGCATACTAGCTTCAGCATTCTTACTCGCAGCATTTCTAACTGCCTTGTAAGACGAACGGCCGACGTGCCTTTGTTAGCAAGTAGATTGTACTTAGGGGAGTTATTACGAAGTTAATAATACCTATTTACATTGCCTGCTATTACTCTTGTTTCCTGATTCATCTAATAGTTGTTGGGCTAGACAACCATACACCCACTCCATTCGAAACCTTTGGGCTTACGTGTTGGGTCCACGGGTTGAAGGAATAAACCTCAACATATATATACACATATTAATAATTTATAATAATCACAATAATAATACTAATACGAGGTAATTAAAATAACATGGTGTCCCGGTGGGTTTAGTGGTTTCCTATCTAATGGGTTGAGCCTAATGGATCTTTCTAATTCTTGTTTAATAACCCAGCTATCTTGTAAAATTGGTTATCAAAATCATAAAGTAAAATGAATTTGGGAAGGTTATAAAGTGATATTAGCTTTAACGCCTCAGGCACATTGTGAATGTTTTCTTCTTTTACTATTACTATGCATTGATTCTTTTCTTATGAATTCCATCTTTATGATTGTAGTTAGGGCTCTAAAAAATATGGGGACCATAGGTCGTCCTAGATGATGTCAAATGATCGTGATTGATTGAATGCAGGGTTTAAGAAAATATTATAGAGCTAATCAATGCTAATAAAGTGTTTGATAAAATGACTAAATCAAAACGGGTATAATGTGTTCTAGATTTGAAATGAGATATAGGATTACATTGACACTTAAAACCTAAAATATTTTTTGGCTACTAGAAGTGTTGTTTAATTTTTGAAAAACTGTCAGGGTCTAAAACAGTGTTATTTTTTGACGAACATTTCCCCCGTTGGGTACCCGTGGGTCTAGCGGGTTGGGGCGGGGATGGGGCGAGTCAAATAGTGGTGGGGGATGGGGCGGGGGTGGGTGCGATTTTTTAGACACGGGACGGGGAATGAGGGTGTGAACCCCGCTCCAACCCTGCCCCATTGCCATCCCTAAATTAGTATTTAGGTCAATTTGTAATAGATGCAATTATACACGCCTGGCTTAGTATGAATACATATAGTATTAAATATGAAATTGTAACAAATTCGGGAGTTGGTTTGTTGGTGAGTTAGTCTAAACTTAAAGGCGTGGGTTCAAATCTCATGCACCTCAAAATTTAATATTTTTTTTGAATATTATGACTTTAAAAAACGGACCTCCGTACGGACCTTGACGTTTGGTCCCCTTCCCGATGGAATTTTTTGAGCATGTTCTTCATCAAGTCTAGTTTACCCATACCAAATTTCAGCAAAAACTTCCAAATTTTTGGAAGTTAACTGCATTTTATATGTATATAAAGTGCCCAGTTAACTTCAAAAAATCATTTGACTGCCTTCCCGATGGAATTTTTAGCTGAAATTTGGTATGGGTAAACTAGACTTGATGAAGAACATGCTCAAAAAATTTCATCAAAAAATTCCAATGGGAAGGAGCCCAAACATCGAGGTCCGTACGGAGGTCCTGACAGGAACACTACTCTATTATGACATGGATTTGTGATGTGGCAGAAAAATTATGTGGAAATGAAATTTTAATTAGAGTGATGACATGTCATGATGACGGTGAAATTTTAATTTGAGAGTACCCTAGTTTGGAAAATAAGATTGGAAACTACCCCTCTCTGGGAAAAAACTCGGAAAATAAGATTGGTAACTACCCCTCTCTTGGAAAAAACTCCAAAATTTAAAGGCGGTTTGGGGTATAGTTTTGCAAGAGAATTTAGGGTCTGTTTGCAATCCATTAAAAAAAGTGCTTTTAACTTTTTTTTTAAGAAAAAAACACTTATTTTACCAAACACTACCAACTTTTACTTTCTCGACTTCCGTGAAGAATCTACTTTTTACTTTTTTTATTACACAAAAAGCACTTATTTTACCAAACACTACCAACTTTTACTACTAATCACTTTTTTCCCAAAAGTGATTTTATTTAAGCACAGGTGGTTGGAAACAAAGCCTTAGTATGTTCAACAGTAAGTATGGTAGCGAAATGATTATTATTTCCGCATGGTGATCAATGAATCGATCCATGCCATATATACACTTATGCGCAAGGCCATATACAAAAGGATAGCTACGTACATGCTAAAAGTTAGGAGAATAAAAGGTAAGCAATAAATGACCTAGTATCCTATGCGCCTAAAATAACTAGGCGGTGGACTATGTATGTGTGTACATGCTAAAACGTTACATAATAAAATGTTACAATAATAATAATAATAATAATAATAATAATAATAATAATAATAATAATAATAATAATAATAATAATAATAATAATAATAATAATAATAATAATAATAATAATAATAATAATAATAATAATAATAATAATCAACACCCCTCAAGATGGAGCATGGGGATCACAAATGCCCATCTTGTCAAGTAGACAAGAGAATTGTTGGGCGCCAAATAGTGCTGTTCCTCAAGTTTGGTACAATTTAGTAATTTACAACAAGGTGTAAAAAATATAGCTACCATTTGCTTGCAGCTTGTTTAATCTAAACTGCGAAGTAAGTCATTCTTATAAGGAAAAAAAGGGTCAAATAGACCCTTCTACTAAAAAATTAAGTCCTTATACTACAAAAACCATCACTTAGATACGTTAACTAATGAAAAACGATCAAGTAGATCACATGACCGGGAACCAACCTGCTCTCTCAAGTTACTGCCATTTTAGCTTCTTTTCTCTTTCCTTAATATTTCCTTGAAGCACACCAACCGTTTCGTTTTTTTAATTCCTATTTCTTCTTTAATTTTCTTTTTTCTCAATGCCGCTGGTGCGACTTATTTCTTAATCTTCACTTTTCTTTTTCTTCATCCTACCGTTCCAATGAATTCTAAATTTGGTTTCTTCTTCTTCATTTTCCCCTAGTTTTCTTATTTATTTGTTGTCTTTTCCCAAGATTTTTTTCAACGTGCTTCTAATTATTTCTATAAAGATGTTTTTGCTTGAACTTGTTTCAGTCTCATACTGAATCTACCAAACTTAATTAAACAAACTAGATCAAACTTAAATGACTAAACGGAAATTTACATCCCAGACTAGACTAGCTCACGCCAGACCAGCTCAATTCAGACCATATTTAAACAAATCTAAGTCAAACTTAAACATGTCAGAGTAGAAAATATATGTCCAGTTAAAAACATCATAAGTGATTAATCATCTTCTCCCATGAACAAAAATTCATTCTTGGAAAAAATAAATAAGCCAATTTAATTATATAAAAAATGGGAAATTATCATTGACCTCCCTTGAGGTTTGATACATTATCAATCACACCCCTATACTATCAAAAATATACATTTACCCCTTCCATATCCTTAATGATGGTTAAATAACTTTTAATCTATATTTAGAGAAAATTATGAACATAATTCCATAATTTTTCGTTATGTCCTCTTTTAATACTGTAATTGTATTCAAACACAAATCTGGTCGGGTAATTAATAAATTTGTTTATACTAAAGACCTTTTTATCGAAAGTGGAACAAAATAAAAGAATGAACAAAACTGACATCACTCTAGGTAGTTCGATTTATGCCTTTGACTTTGTAAAATGGGTGAATTTACTCAATTGAAAAAGATCGAAATATGTTCATTTTGTCAAAAATTGAAACATATCATCTTAAATGAGCCAAATTGACTCAAAAGTCAAGTTTACTACTCGATTTTACCATTAAAAATTGAATGCAAGAAAATTCTCAATTTGCACTCTAGATACTCTTTGTTATCACTGGAATTGAGATCATATATGTATAATAATAACTTGTAAATTAATATTAAACAAAATATTAATATGTTTACATCTAAAATACGGGTAAAGAATTACCGCAAATAAGAGTAAAAGCATTCACATATTTTAAAATAGGACTGTCAGACGTTGAACAAGATAATATATTTTAAGCTTGGTAGAATGACTCCGACTTACGGAATAAATAAAACATGTCGGCGATATTTCGAAATTTTAAAACATTTTTATTCTTATTTCAGGAATAAAAAGAAAATTATTTTCAAAATAGGACAAACAAACAAATTGTTTGTTACGATCAAAAGAAAAAGTAAATACGTAGTACATAACAAATAGGGTGGAGTGACCGAGTGAGAAATCAGGGAAAAAAAAGGAGAAAAAGAAAATAAGAAAAACAAGTAGAATAGCATTGTTGCTGGAGTTTGCTTCGGAGAAGAATAAAAAGGAAAGATAAAAAGGTAAAATGTCGGTAACTTACTATAGGAGGTTGTTGTCCGGTGATATGGTTCATTTGATTGTTTTTTGTTAGTAAATGTATCAATGTGATGGATTTTTTAGTACGTGGGCTTAAACGATTTTTTCGCAGTAGTAGGCGGGCTTATTTGACCCTTTTTCCTTCTTATAAATAATGAAACCTAATTAGAATTCATCGTTTGGTTAAGGTAACTCATAGACTATGTTGTATTTGGACAGAATCACACTTGAAATCTAATCAATCAAATAATGCAAGTCAAGAAATTACTATTAATTACTACCGTTCTCGAAACCTGTTGGATCTGAATTATTTATTCTAGACCCGCCAGGTAATGGGTTCTGGGTCTGGAATACTATTTCCGGCCCAAACTCGACACATTGCAGGCCTAGCATTTTTTTTAAAATAAAACTTCATTAAATTAGGGTTGAATTATATGTAGATCAGAACAATCATTCAAGATAAGATCACGGATATCTAAAGGTGAAATATTAAACCAAGGATACTCCTGAATAGCTTGTTTAGCTAAATCATTAGCATTTAGCAACTTTATTCACTGACAGTCACACATATTGGACATAAATTTCGGGCAAACCTTGTCATCATGTGTCTAATATCATTCACACGCTTAGTATTGAGATTACAAGACTAACAATATTTACATTTTTTGAAGGTATGGCAAGTACGTGCTTCATTCGATCAAAAGCCATATCGACGGTTGATGATGCAAACATATGGTGCCAAAGTCCACCCATCTTCTTCTATTGTCACCGAAGCGGGTTGGGCCATTCTCAAAAGGGACCCATCAACTCCGGGAAGTTTGGGAATGACCATTTCCGAGGCGGTGGAAGTTGCATATAACAATGCAGATACTAAGTACTGTTTGGGCAGTGTCTTAAATCATGTTCTTTTACACCAGACAATCATCGGTGAGGAGTGTATAAAGCATATGGAGCGTTTGGGGGAGACTCCGGATTTGATCGTGGGTTGTACGGGTGGTGGGTCCAATTTTGCGGGCCTTGCCTTCCCGTTTCTCCGGGAGAAGCTTAAAGGGAAACTTAACCCTGTTTTTAGGGCAGTTGAACCTTCAGCATGCCCTTCGTTGACTAAAGGTTTATATGCGTATGACTATGGGGATACGGCAGGGTTGACTCCCTTGATGAAGATGCATACTTTGGGACTCAACTTTGTACCTAATCCTATCCATGCAGGTGAGGCATTTGTTTCCCATTATGATTTCGTTTGCATATTTATTTTAACTATCCTTCCAATTCTCTGTATTTTTCCAATTTAAATCTACTTTCTATTAAGTCGAGTGTGTTTGACACAACTAATTAAAATATGTTTTTTGAAAATTTTAGGGTATAATTGAGAGCAAGTTTTTGGAGGAGAGGGCAAGGATTAGGAGAGTTCATGACTTCTCCTTTCTCATTTGAGAGTTTAAAAACTTGGAAGGAATGATTCTGGAAGGGTTTTGTGACTTTTCAAAACTCTTCAAATGCTTAATTTTTACATTCCCCAAATTGGAGGATTTTGAATGACTATATCTTAATTTGAAATGAATATAAGTTCAATAATTTAAACTCGTCATAATTTTGAAATGATTTTAATTACAATTCCTCTTTAGCTCTCCTCTATTCAAATTTATAAGTCCCAAACAAAAAGAAGAATCCCCCCTTCTCCCACTCCCCTATTACCCACTCCCCTAATAGGACTAACCTTTGAAGTTTGAACCTTCCCTTCCCTTATCTCCAAACTCACAAATATAATGATTGAAAAGATTTTATAAGCAAACAGTTGTACTGCATAATTTTTTTTGTTAAAAAATGACTATTTAACTTAATTATGTTTGATATAACAATAACAATATGTTATGATTAATTAATTCTAAAAACAACAGACTTTGCCTTTGAAGCTAACTAATGTACTTTTAAGATTATGTTAATAAAAAATGAACACATCTCCATGTAACTAAGGGGTATTTGGATCTGACTCTTAAAACTGCTTCTGCTCCCTCAAGGAGCAGAAGCAGAAGATGAAGTGTTTGAGTGAAAGTGAAGAAGTGATTTTGGTGTTCTAATTTGCTCCTAGAATCAGTTTTTTTAGAAACTGGGGGTGACTAGCTTCCGAAAACTGATTCTGATTTTGCTTTTGCTGTTAAAAAAGAAGTAGAAGCAGAATCCGTTCCAAACACCCCCTAATATGTATCCCAAATTCAGGAGCGGATTCAAAAATGTGGGATGCCATGATGGAAGAACAATTATATTAGGTTTAAACGTTGGCGTATGGGGTGGGCTAATATGAAAAATGAATAAAGAATTACACAAAAAATTGGAAAAGATTGGATTGCCCTTACCTTCAGCCCATTATAACCTCGCAGAAGTGGAAGTCACTGCCACCATCAACAATATTCGAATACACATATGACGCCAATGCAACCTGGAGCCCTGGACTATTCAGTCTCATTTGGACAACATGCATAGAAAAATTTCAACTTGGGCAAACTTAGTTATTGAATTTACAAGAGATATATAAATGTATAGAATTACAGGAAAGTTTATTAGAAGACTGAAGATATTATGTTACAACATACGAGTGAATGAACACTTATGCCAACGCCTCTTATATATTAGTCGAACCATACTTATTTGTATATTGTGTTCCTTAGATATTCTCTCCATCCCATTAAGATTGTCTCATTTTTCGGTCTATCTACCAAAATTTTTCTTATACCAAATTTAGAAATAGGTGGTTTCTTTGGTACCCATAAGGTACCAAACCTTTGTCCACATGGACCATTGAAAATGTAGCAGTTGAATTATCTAAATCTAAATTAAAATTGATATAGTGATGTGGTCCAATCAAATAAATGCTAGGTACGGTACTCCTGTTTTTAGAAAGGTACCGGAGTTGTCACCTTAGAAATATAGAATTTTAGGCTCGTAATAAATTTCACTATTTTAAATCCTCTCTTTAGGAATGTACAATTTCCAGCAAAAAGCAATTGATAAAGTTGCCCCAATCTAAGGAGGTTTTCTTTTGGACTGAAATTTGTTGGTCTGGTCTGGTCTGGTCTGGTCTGTTCCGAACTGGTCTGGTCTGGTAAACGTCTGGTCTTTGTGTATTTTATAACTGCGGAAGTCTGGTCTGATCTGGTCTGATCTGGGACTGAAAACAATCCAAATGAAAACATCCTAAGAAGAAATTTAAGAGACTTATCTCGGTTTTTCACTTTTTGAGAAAAGGATGTTTTTACTTGGATTGTAATTTGTCTCAGACCAGACCAGATCATACCAGAACAAACCAGACCAGACTTGGATAGTTATAAAAATACAAAGAAACCAGACCAACCCAGACTAGATCAGACCAGACCAGAATAGATTTGGATAGTTATAAAAATACAAAGAAACTAGATCAGATCAGACCAGATCATACCAGTTCCCCCAATTTTTCAGTTTTTTGAAAAATGAAAAATATTCCTTTTACTAAAGGGTCCTTTATATTTTGTGGAGATTTCAACATATCTCATCATCTAGCCGATAAAAGTCTATTTTTTCACTATTCACAATTGTGCGAAACTTAAGGGCTCCATCTGGTCTTGTTGCACTAATTAATTGACAGATAAAAAATGCAGAGTATAAAGGAAGTTGACAACGAAATCATCCACAATTGTCGAGCAAGAGGTCAGCCAGTAACGTGTGGTCTGTTCAAAGAGCATTAGATTCCTGTCAAAAGCTTCCACTTGATTATTATTGTTGCTTATTTGTTTGGTTTTGATTTTCAAAATTTTTACATAAAAGAATATGGAATTCCTGTCCAAATTAAAAGACTAGATCTCAGAAGTTGGGTTAGGTGCGAGGTTGTCTGTCATGTTTCTCTAAACATTTACGTGAAATTTACTTTTATAACACATGTTTTGTTGGTTTAGAGTTTGAACATATTTTTAAAAGGGGGTTTAAAAAATATTACCGAAATAAAAATAATTTATAAGGATATTATGGCCAAAAGTTACTATCGTATGACATCTCGTGTAAATTTTGAACATAAATTATTACTATTACTATAACTAAACTTAGTACTATACTCAATACATTTAAGGAGTCACATTTTGTAAATAATACCCCCTATTTATTTTAATCATAAATGATGTAGTTATTTCATTTTTAACACCCTTGAAACATGACATTAAATAGAGTATAAAGTTACAAACTCATACCAAGTATATAACATCTTTTTTATTTAAATTTTGAACCTCTTGAATTATTGTTAACAACTACTAGTAAATGACTGACTTTACGATTTTGGGATGTTTGTGATGGGGGTACTCATATGACATCCGTAGTACTGGTATATATGATACAAAAAGTCTTGGTGTACACCCTGGGTTACACCCTGGGGTACACCATATATAAGGGTCTTCTTTTTTTTACCCCACAAAGCCAGACCTCTGTAAAAGCTAAAAACAACAAATCTCCTCTCCATTCCAAAATCGACCCATCTTTCCCGCATCCCTTCCCGCTCCTTCGTCCTCACCCCCAGTGCCGCACACCTTCGCCGTTCATCCTCATCCCCATTTGACAGACTTAACACGCCTGGCTTCTTCCTCCATTCCCACTGAGCAGACTTCGCGAGTTCGGCTTTCTCCATCCCGACTTCTGAACCCAGCTTTTTGTCAACACCGAAAGGAGAAGACCCCATTGTTGGAAGACGTAGACCTCAGAGTTTCGAACTTCTTCGCGAACCAGACTGTCTGAAATGGCGGAACGGTATGTATGAAGTCATCTATTCACTTTTTATGTTTTGGGTATGAATTTCAGTTGAATATAGTCATGTCTGTGGAAGAAATCGGTTAAATGGCAGTTGGTTCATCATGAATTTGTGAAGTGTGACTTCCAATTGCAATGTTTGTGTGACCTTAGGGTTTTGATAGTGTTGGATTTGCAAATGGATTAATTTTGCAGTGTTGGGTTAATTTTCTTCTACAATGTTGTTTATCTCAGTTACTATTTCTCCATTATTACTTGGACTTGATTTTGAAGCAAATTCCCTTTTGTTCCCATTGTGAATAAATTTTTTGTGTAATCATTATGTTAATACAAATACTACGTGTAATGAATGACTTTGGGAATGGAATAGGAGTCCAATTTGACCACTTAGGATGACATCAAGAACTGTTTTACAATACCTAAGAGCCATTTGGAATGATCAGTGCTTTACTTTAATTTTCAGCTCCTTGGGCAGAATAATGATACCAAATTTCTATTAGATCCTATCCAAGTAACCCATATTTGTTCCATAAGTAGGTTTAACTTAATATAGCTACCATTGATAACATCTAACCATTAACAGCCCTTTCAAGGCCATTTTTTTGGTTATTTTTGTTTATCTTAAATGGACGGATTTGCTAAATTCTTAAACAGTATATTTTGTAACATTCATTAAATCCAAACCAGCAAGTAAAAAGCTACTTAGAGTCCATATGATGATTATATAGAGGGTTGAGTCAGGTTCAAATGGCTGAATTAAAAGTACTCAGTAATTGTTCGTGTTCAATGACTTATGCCTAAAGCACCAATTTGTGTATTCCATGAATGTGCCAAGTTTTTAGCATATCTGAGAGTATTTATTTTATAACTTTTTGGCTCCATAATCTTATGCAGGATTTTGCAAGACTCCATTTTTTTAAACACCGTACTAAACTAACTATAACAACAATCCCAGACTCTCCGAACTCTTCATGTTTTCCATCAACCCCTAAAGTAACTTAATGAAGGGATCCCTTAGTTTAACGCGTGTGTTGTGAATGGCTTTGCTGTCCGTTGAATGTTTTGTCCCTTACTAATGGCTTTGCGGTCCTATGTCGTCTCCACAACTTGCTTTAGTTTATCTAGGGGTGGGTTTTGTATTTTCGGTTCGCTGTTAAATTTTAAGGCAAAATAAAAAAATAAATAGCAAATGTATTTGAGTCTTGGTTTTTTGAGTTATATATTTCTCTTTGTGACTGTTGTTTAACATGTTAAATTGCAGGGCGCTTCAATTGCAAATTGCTGTGAGTGAACATTTTCCGGCCTCTTATTCATTATGCTCCAAGTACTCGGAAGCCGCGCAGTTCCTGAATGAGCGTTTGTCACCGGAGCAGCTGACCATGTTTAAAGACACTCCGTGGGGGCATTTGCTGGATGCTCCTGAGATGCAATTCTCAGGCCAGATCATCCACATGCTGTTGTTACGCCTAGTGCGTCAACAACCAGCCGATGAGTTGTGGTTTTGTGTGCGCGGGAAGCTCTTGAAGTTTACTTTCGCTGATTTTGTCCGCATAACCGGACTACCATCTAATGGAGAGAGGCCTGAGTTGTCCACGGATAAAAAAAACTCCATTGTTAAGAAGTTTTTCAAAGGGCGGACTGAAATTACCTATCAGCAGTTGAAAAATAGGATGGAAGAGTACAAGGCTCCAAGTAAAGGTGATCCACTACCCGGTGTTAAGCTTGCATCTTTGTACTACACACAGTGTGTTCTGCTGTCTAGAGACAAACGGACCAAAATAAGCCCAGATTTTTTTAAATGGATTGATGACTTTGAAAGTTTCAAGAAGTACCCCTGGGCGTTGGAATCATACAATGCCACCGTGAATCACATGAAGTCGCTTATGGTAGGCCAACCGAAGTTTTTCCAGGACAGCAAGAAAGACGATCCTACGTACGACAAAATGCGGAATACGATGTATGGTTTTCCGCATGTGTTGCAGGTATGATCCAAATTAAACACGCCTACTTACTATATTTAATAACAAATTTTTATCACCACTTTATCCATTTTTATAGGTTTGGGCATACGAGAACATACCGGACTTGGGAAAATTAGCCGCTACAAAAGTTGGTGAAGAGGGTTGTGGATTGCTTAACTGGAAAGCGGAACGCTATTTTCACGCTGCAAAGCTTCAAGAAAAAGTATTCTTTGAGGTAATTATACTAACTCACATCACTGCATTGAGACAAAATCTGTGTAATCCCATGCTCAAGTTTGTTATTTTTTGTTCTAGGAGAGTGTGCCTGCTGACGAAGATGGGGATGATTCTGTGTTGGGACATTCGATTGTGGTGGAAGAATTAAAAAAACTAAGGACGTGTATTGAAAGTTTGGACTCTCGGTTGAAAGTTGTTGAAGACAATGTTGCTGAAATGAAGGCGCTTGTAGTTGCACGCTTTGGAAAATCTGATGAAAACGCTGCTGCGAACCCCCTATCTGGAGAGGAAGAGGTAAACATGTGTAACTTACTGCTTCTTACTAATGTCAGTGCGAACAGATGCTTCATTTTATATTGTCTGTGTGTACCGGCAGTAATAGTTTTGTGAATTTACAGGTTGTTGCTGAAGGAAGGCCCCCAGTTCATGAAGGAGGTTGTCATACTCGTGTGAACCACATTGTTGTAGAGGATGAGGTAAGCATGTATATGTTACTAGTTATGTAAAGAGAATGAGGTAACCATGTATACGCTGCTACTCATTACTAGTGTCAGTGTGCACCGATGTTTCAGTTTATATTGTCCGTGCGTACCATAACTAATGCTTGTGTGAATTTAATTTCAGGTTGTTGCCCAAGGAAGCCCCCCACTTGATGAAGGACCTTCTCATACTTCTTTGAACCCCCTATCTGGAGAGGATGAGGTAACCATGTATCCCTTACTACTTATTGATAATGTCAGTGTGCACTGATGCTTCAGTTTATATTGTCTGTGAGTACCGTAACTAATACTTGTGTGAATTTTCAGGCTGTTCCCGAAGGAAGCCCCTCATTTGATCAAGGACAATCTCATACTTCTGTGAACCCTCTATCTGGAGAGGATGAGGTAACCATGTATCCATTGCTAAAAAATTAAAGGACTAAAGTTTGGCATGTCTGTCCCAGATTCGCGTTCAATCCTAGCTAGGCTTGTATTAATACATTTAGAATGATTCAATCATACAAACTAGGAGGTGTATTTATGGGGTGTATTTTTTTTTTTTTGCTAAAGACATGTAAATTACAATCTTTTTTTCGTTGTTTATGTACAAATTTTGTTTCAGCCTGTTGCAAAAGGAAACCCCCCAATCGATCAAGCAGCTTCTCAGATTTGTGTGACCCCCCTTTGTGGAGAGGATGAGGTGACCTTGTATAATTTACTACTTACTACTACTGTCAGTGTGCACCGATGTTTCAGTTTGTATTGTCTGTGAGTACCAATGTGTTACTACATGTGTGAATTTTCAGGCCGTTGGCGAAGGAACCCACCCACTTGATCACGTACCTTCCTATACTGGTGTGAACTCTCTTTCTCAAGAGTGTCATACACCCACAAACCTCATGCTCTGCAGTTCTGAGGTAAAGCGTGTGTATTTAGTATTAAATATTTGTACACATACACTATGAATGAGGTTGTCTAAAAATAATGTGTGTACATATCTCAAAGGAAGGTCTGAAAATGAAAATATAGGATTTCGATCACAAACAAAACGTATGAATGAAGTGCATTCTGTGATATTGTGTAGTTATTTTATGAATGTGTAGTTAGGTGCCGATAACTTGCATGAAATAAGTGCAAAGGCCCCATTTGAAAATTTGGACTGGGCTGATGTTGATGAAGATGGTGGGTCGGCTGCAATAGATGTCTTGGTGCTTGAAGACCAATGCCGCAAAGCAAAGCTGAAAGGAAGAAAAAGAAAGTGCTCTAAGTACCATTGTAGCCCATTCACCGATCCTACAAGAAAGAGGGCCAAAGTACAAAACAAGAACCGAAGCCCAACATTTGTAGACATACGCGATGATGAATGGCTAGAGTTGAAGAAGTGGGTTGAAGAGGATGACAACCTAGAACCAACCGTGGTTGTACTTGCTATTACGGGCTATAATAAAGTGAGCCGCAAGTTTGTCCGAGAGCTGATCGAACCGGAGGAGTGGTTGTCGAGTGAAGTAAGTAACTTTTTAACTTAATTATCCATGTAAGTTGAATTCTTTGAAGAGTAAGTTTTTTACTTAATTATTTCAGCACATAGACGCACTTTGCTCACTCATACAGAAGTCTATGGTGAACAAAAAAATTGGCCTCATTGGTCCATACTTTACGGTATTTTACTTATTCAATATGATGAACTAGTGTAACGTGTTAATACCAATCCAACATTTCCTTTCATTCACTAATGTACTGTTTTAATGTAGTATACAATTCTGAATAAGGACATTAATGTACCTAAGCACTGGGCAGAAGACAGGTTACTTCCGCGAGTTAATTGGTCAAGTTTTGAAAAGGTAATTGTATGAAATAAAAGTGTTTGTATTCAAACATTTGTTAAGTGACTGTGTGCACCGTCAGTTTTTATATTCAAACATTTGTTAACTGTCTGTGTGCACCAACGGTTTCTGTATTCATACATTTCTTACGTACCATTGTCAATAGGTTTTAATTCCATTGAATGTGGATGGCCTACATTGGATCTTGACGGAAGTTGACCTTAAAGCGAAGGTGGTTAGAGTGTATGACTCTTTGCGGAGTGCGAAATCTAAATCAACTGCCCATCATCTATGCATCAGACTACCTTACTTACTTAATGTGATAAAATGCCCCGAATCTGCTGCAGGTTCAGATGATTTCAAACCATGGCCTGCCCAGGTTGTTCCTGATGTACCGCAACAACGAGGGTATCTACTTTTGCACCCATGTTATTGGCTATGCAACATAGAGTCAAAATGTATGCAAGTGTTTGTAATACATGTTGTTGTTTGCTTTTTCAGGAGTTCGGAGTGCGGAGTGATGACGATGGCATTTGCGGAGCATTTGGCATTGGAGTATCCTTTGACACCCGGATGTGACTACGACAACATGTTGGACATGAGAAGCCAGTTTGCGGTGCGCCTATGGCGTCTAAAGAAGACTGATGTTTGACACCGTTTAAATGACATTATTAGTGTATTTGACATTATGTTTTGTACAATAGTGTTGCGCTTTTTTGTACAAGGTTGTACACTGGAATGCCAAACTATAATGCTTCCATATTTTGTCAACATTTTCATGTTTTGGATAAGAATGCGTAATTAGAATGCGTATTACAAGAAGAACCATATGAATCGTGGAAAACACTTGTTTGTGGCATAACATAGGCTCCTAAACAAAAAGGTGTGCAAAATACATACACACTATATGTCATTTACAACACGATCAATGTCATATTCACAATATCCATGCAAAAAACATGCACACTACACGTGCAATTACAACACACCCAAAGTCATATTCAAATCTAAATCTAAATATTGAACACTTGAACTTCCGACCTCATTTCCAGCCTCAACAACCGACGAAGCTTGGCCATTTTGTTTGGTAGACCGTACCTAATAATTGGAATAATATTTGTTAGTGCACATGAAACGACAATCCATATTCATATATAAGTATAAAAATAACTTACAGTTTTGGTTTTCTTTCCCTTTTCAAGTGGTCCCTTAAGGCGGTTTTTTCGTGGTGCACCCTTTCTCTTGGAAGTTTTTGGGTCAAGAATGGTTTGCGTGAGGGCAGCCTCTACCCGTGGGACAGTGTCAGGTAGTTCAGTCATCACACCAGAAATAGAAGATTTAGAGGTGGAGCTTGTATTTGCACTTATTTGGTCCTCTATCCATTGCATGACAATGTTATACTTGTCCTCATCATCAACAATGGTGTTGGCTAGTTTTTCAAAATTGTTGCATAATTGGTGAAATCTAGCTTGTTCCACCGTTGTCACCCAACCGTCGTAATTGATTTTAACGCGTGTGTACTGTCTCTTGACGTCTCTTCTCCACCTTGTCATTATATAATAGTCGGGCAACATATTTTTGATGCCATTTCGAAGGAGCACAACCACCAAATGACGACACACGATACCCCTAAATTCAAACAAATGGCAACTACACACGCCATGACCACTTTCACGGTTGAACTCAACCACATAGTTGACGCACTTGTCAAACCCATTCGGCAACTGTTTGTCCTCGCTCACGTGATATGTTAGACCATCTCCACTATGTAGGTCACAAGAAAGCTTGCCAACCATTTCAGTTTGAAACTCTTTAAATTTGTCAAGGGTATAAAGTTCTTGAACCTGTTTTTCCATGCCGTAGATACTAATGCATGGAATGTTTTTAGAAAATGACTTTGCATCAGCTTGAAATTCTAGTTCGACTTTACTTCGCAATGCCCGCCCATATTGTTCAACGAACTGTTTAAGAGATGTTTTCGAATTAACGTAATCATCAAAAAACGCATTCATGCTCTCACTACGTTGTGTCGTAGACATGCCTGCCCAAAATGTTGTCTTAAGATAACAAGGGACCCAACGGGCTCTTTCATTGTACATTGTTGTAAGCCAATCATTGTCTTGTAGAGCAAACCTGTAAAATTTAAATGAATTTTACAAATTCATTTAAGCTACACTGACCATTTTCTGTCTGTGAAACGCAAAACGTGTCGGTAAGATTTTTTTTGTTGCAGAAGGGCCTAGGCATGAACAAAGGTACACCGACACTTTCCATCTGTGAAATGCAAAAAGTGTCGGTACGGTGTCTTAAAGTGGCAGAAGGTCCCAGGCATGAACAAAGGTACACCGACAGTTTTTGTCTGTGAAATTCACAAAGTGTCGGTACGGTGTCTTAAAGTGGCAGAAGGTCCCAGGCATGAAATAAGGTACACCGACACTTTCTGTCTGTGAAATTCACAAAGTGTTGGTACGGTCTCTTTAAGTGGCAGAAGGTCCCAGGCATGAAATAAGGTACACCGACACTTTCTGTCTGTGAAATTCACAAAGTGTCGGTACGGTGTCTTTAAGTGACAGAAAGTCCCAGGCATGAAATAAGGTATACTGACACTTTATGTCTGTGAAATGCAAAAAGTGTCGGTAAGGTGTCTTTAAGTGGCAGAAGGTCCTACGCATGAAATAACCTACACCGATACTTTTTGTCTGTGCATTACATAATCTATCTGTGACACGTAAAAAGTGAAACTTAGTTAATGAATATTGGAGTGTACCTTTCGAGCATGGCTTTCCAATCTTCCTCAAAGGTCGTAATGTACTGAGAGTCATAAACGGCATCATGTATGGCTGTCATGATATCATCTTTATGTACAAGTCCACCCATCTTTTCAGGTAACTTCTTCATTATGTGCCAGAGACACCATCGGTGCCTTGTGTTTGGGAAAACGATTTGGATGGCATTTTGCATGGCCCTATCTTGATCAGTTATAATCCCCATTGGAGCATAACCATCCATACACTCAAGCCATGTTTTGAACAACCATACGAATGTTGATGTATCCTCACTAGAAATGATTCCACAACCTAATAACATCGATTGTCCATGATGGTTAACACCAACAAACGGAGCAAAAGGCATGTCATAGCGGTTGGTGAGATATGTCGTATCAAATGTAATCACGTCTCCAAAATCCTTGTATGCATGTCGACACCTATTGTCCGCCCAAAAAACATTACGCAAACGTGAATCTTCATCCAAGTCAATTGTGAAGAAAAAACCTGGACATTGAGCTTGCATTTTTGTAAAAAAACCTTGGATGGCCATTGCACCCCCATCTCCTAATCTAAGTTGTCGAACTTTTTCTATGTAGTTCCTGCAGTCCTTTTCAATGAAAGGAAGTTGATCATATCCTCCGGCTTCTACAACTGCGGATTTGAAAGTTTTACAAAGACGTATTCCTGCAACGTCATTTACATCGATTTGGTGCCTAATTTTCATTGTCAACTTCCTATTACAACGGAATAATCTAGACTTCGTGGGACTCATAGGATGATTATGGTTCAAAAAAACTTGTGATATTACCCATGACCCGGCATAATCTGTCTTTGCTCTTATTCTCGCTAAGCAACCATTTTGCATGGAAGGTTGAGGTTTCAAACAGTTTTTCGACCTACTACCTCTGTTGCCTGCACGTGAGCACTCTACTACAAACGCGATCAAGTCCCCTTCTTTATCCTTCTTTGAAGTGCGGTGTCTAACAGGAAAGCCAACACTTTTGGCATACTTTTTGTAGAAATCATAAACTGCATCTTTTGTAGGAAACTCCATGCCTATCTTTGGAATTTGTTCACATTCATCAGCAATGTTATCTCCATCTGTTCACATAATCAAATAATTATTTTACATTAACTCCTTCATAGATACAACAATCATCTTTGCAGGTATACATTATTGTAGTAGGGTATATATTAACAATATTCATAGATCATTTTTCATAGGTATACATTAACAAAATTCATACATCAAAGACTTGTTTGTAAGTATACATTAACAACATTCATACATACATTAACTCATTGTACATAGATACAACACTCATCTTTGTAGGTATACATTAAATTATAGGGTACATATTAACAACATTCATTCATAAAATCAATTTTTATAGGTATACATTAACAACATTCATACATCAAATACATCTTTGTAGGTATACATTAACAACATTCACACATACATTAATTCATATTTGTAGGTATACATTAACAACATTCATTGATAAAATCAATTTTTATAGGTACACATTAACAACATTCATACATCAAATACATCTTTGTAGGTATACATTAACAACATTCACACATACATTAATTCATATTTGTAGGTATACATTAACCATATATACATTAGTTGTCGGTACACACCGACACTGTGTATGTAAGCTGTCTGTGTGTGTCAAATAAAATACCTCCGCCATCTGCGTTTGTCTTCCCCCTGCTACTTCCTTCCTCGTCAAAGTTTTCATCATCCAGACCCTCAAAGATCAGAACTTCGTTGCCACCTTGTGTCGCAGCTCTACCACCCGTCGCACCTAAGTCTTCATCCCCAACTTTGTCCGGAGCTCCATCTTCTTCGTTCACAAATCCACCATTTCTGTCCTCCATCGCAGCTCCGTCTTGTTCGTTCACAGGTCCACCATTTCCGACGCTTAGAGCTTCTTCGTTTCTTCCATTTCCGACCTCCGTCGTCCGTCGCAGGCAGGAATCGTCCAATGCTCCATCGTTTCCAGTCCCCTGTTCATCCACCATCACATATGCTAGAAAATCATCCATGATATTCGCAACAAAAAAATAAAAAAAAACAGAGACAAGGGCGGGAAGAAAGAATGAACAAGGGTGAAGGATGGGAAGAGAAAGAAACGTGCGCAACTTTGGGGAGGGGAGGGGAGGGCTGTGCGAGTGAAAGGGGTAAAAGAAGCTGTAAATAATTAGACCTTATATATGGTGTACCCCAGGGTGTAACCCAGGGTGTACACCAAGACTTTTTGTATATGATATGCAGGAGGATTGCGATACCATGGGATGGCTCCGTTGATATCACATGTCTATGAATTGGGTTTCATGGAAGCAATTGCAATTCCTCAAACAGAACGCTTTAAAGGTAACCTTTGTTTGCAATGCAACATGACTTACTTTTTTGAGACACGAGATGCCATAGCAAATTTTCAATTTTTTTTGGTAGGAGAAGTAGCCCAAAGTGTTATATAATGCTTCATTATTCTATAATTTTTCAGTGCGGGATAAATACTTTAATTAACACGACGGCTCTCAGCACGAACTAAACTGGATAATATCGGAGTGTATAAATGGGTCAAACAAACCCCAAACAAGCTAGTACAAAGTCAAACCACAATAGTGTTTTGGCTAAAGGGTCAAATAGGTACATGAATTAACTTAAAGTGTTCAATTAGCCCCTTATATAGGAGGTTCTGCCCGGCCGTCGCTAATTGGGGCGGTTCCCGGTGGAAGTTTATGATGAAATTTTTTGAGCATCTTCTTCATTAAGTCTAGTTTATCCATAGCAAATGTCAGCTAAAAATTCACTTAGAAAGGCAGTCAAATAATTTTTTGAAGATAACTGTGCAGTTAAACAACGCAGTACATTTGGGAAAATCATTTGACTGCCTTCCCGATTTAATTTTTAGCTGAAATTTGATATGGGTAAACTAGACTTAATGAAGAAGATACTCAAAAAAAATCATCAAAAA